TTGAAGTACGAGTAAAAGACCATACTGTATGGCGCAGATCCGATTTTCGATTTTTAACTTTTTTATATAATTTGCTCAGCACACCAGTTCGCTGCATTCATATTGGTGAAATGTGTATGTGAATTGTTTAAATGATCAGTTAAAAAAAGTAAGAATTCCTTAGCATTAGCTTTATTCTCTGTTGTTTCTCTAATAGCATAGACCTTGTTCCTGGCAAGTCATTCTGTATTATAATTTTGGTAATAACTCAAAAAAGTTTTAGTTGTGCCTTGTTTAGTGATATGCACAAACGGGTATAATCCGCTGCTACAACTGAGTCTAAAAATAATAATTTTTTTTCAGAAATAAGCAAAAAAATCGGTGCCTTTACATAACTGAGATTTTATTTTTTGTTCCGCAATTTTTGTTAAACAGAGGAAACTTGGAAGTTAAAAAAAAAAAAGAAAAAAAAAAAGGAAAAATGTTAATGAAAAAATTGAGTGTTAGTTAGCAGAGACATACAGTCTTGAACCATTTCATTCTTATAACTTTTAACGCCAATTTGCTCTTCTGTAATTAACAAATCTAATTACTAAAAAAAAAAAAAAATGCTTACAAATGTGCAATTTTTATCTCATCTCCTGCAAAAAAAAACAGGTAACCCTCGATTAATTTAGGCAGCTATTAAAATCTAAAAAATAAAATGAAGATTACTAATGTCTAAAATAAATTAACCGAAGGACAAAGAAGAAGAAGATTTTACAGCTGCAAAAACCCTTCTGAAAACCAGACAGCGAGTAGCCGTAATAAAAACAGACTGTACAGAGATATAGTTCTGAAATTTATGTAGTTGGTGCTACTAACCAAGTAGTAATCCGATAAACTATGGCTTATATCGAATCTCATACGGTTTCCTACTTTTCAATCATTTATTTCAGACAACTATCTTGGAAAAAAATGTTTTAATAAACTTTGCTTTTCTTTCAGTATTATTTATTGGCTTTATAGTAAGTAGACGAAAAGAAACACTTTACGAATTGGTTTTGTCAGACACCTTTATTCGACTAAATTTTTTTCACTTATACACCCTTTAAAAAAGTTTGTTTTATGTAATTGCTTCAAACTTTTTCTTTTTCTTCTCGCGTCATTTTTTTCAATCTTTTAAAATTTCTGCAACAGATCCTACAATTTGAAAAAAATAAAGCAGTTGTTTTTAGAAATGCGAATTCAAGGCTGCAAGATCGCAAGCAGA